GGAGTGTGGTTGGGAGTAGGTGGGAGATTATCTTCTTTCTAGCGCCGCCCCCCCCCCCCACACACACACATGGAAGATTTGCTCTCTGGAAGAAAAGAAGGGATATGGACGCTGGTTCCTTCACTCCGTGGTGGAGTCGGGGAGCGAAGGGGTGTCACAGAAGAAAGGAAAGGTTTTACAGTAGAGCAGGACTGGTGGGCTCTGGGGACAAGTGTAGGAGACTGAACAGGTAGGAACAAGGGAAGGTGAGGGCAGGACACATTTTTCCACACACACACCCCCAGCGATGCTTAGTTTTAAGGGGGAGGGGAGAGGATGTCAAGATGGAGCAGCTCTGGTTCGTGCTCAAGTGTTAAATGTTATTCTTTTTCTTTTGTCCCTTGATCCTGTAGGTGTTTACTTGGGATAATGCTATTTAGATCAAGGTATTGTGCACTGGGTGGTTTAAATGTAGGGCATTTCTGGTTTATGCTAACCATTCTTTCTTTCTTTGTGAAAGTAAGCATACCTTTTTAAGGGCTGAAATCTGTATCCTTTGTTTTGCTTTTTTTTTTTTTAAGGGGGTTAGTTCACACATTATGCAAGAGTGAAAGCAGGTACACTCTACAGGGAACGAGTCATTGTTTCCTTACAAGTATGCCTGTTTGCTGTATTCATACTTTACATTTTTAGGTGTATGTAAATGTCTGGCATTTGAGCAAGGGAAACCTTTAATTGTCCTTGACCAGCAGTCTCTCAGTGGGACAGGCTGCATTATTCAGACCTTGGTACAATTTAAATGTGATGTGAAGTTGTCAAATGGGGGACATTTGATAGTACATTCAAATTCCAGCCTTCAGGAGGGTGGTGATGTAGTTGTCAGTTTGCCTGAGTTTGAACACACCAAAGATGACATCAAACCCAGTCCTTAGGGAAGGTTGGCCTGAACTCATCTCACAAGTATGGTCATGTTCATGTCAAGGTATTTCAGTTTAGGCCCGTAATGGTTTTAAATGTCTGTTCCAGTCTTACTGTGCAAATGGAGGACGACTACCGAATTCTCTTTGTAGAATATTGGGTCCTACTCTTGAACTGTTCATTGGTAGGAATTCTGTCAGCATAGGGATACTATAATTCTTCCCACATTTTTTTTTCTGTTCGCCACAGAAAGAATGGTTATTTCTTTTCTACAAAATGGGATAACTGTGCCATATCTTCGCATGATTTCTGTGATCATGATCCTCCTGGAAGGTGTGGATAGTACAGCATTAAAACATGCACACTCCTCAGTAGTCTTTATGTAAATATCTAACTGCTAACTTTCATTCAGGTGAACACAATCTGTGACATACTTTAGGACCACTAGTAAGCAAAATGTGGTCGCGCAGTGGCCCTTGATAATTTCATTCTTCCCAATGGAACTGACATTTTATAGATTTTTATTTCGTACAGCCACACTATTAATGCTGTGCATATCTGTGTTCAGGAGATATGCCAGCAAGCAGTGCTCCCTCTAAGCTGAGTTAGTGTGAGCTAGCTCAGTTTTTTAGCCTCCAGCTCACACAGTTTTGTCTTCGCTCAGGAAGAATGGCTCCAGAGCAAACTAATTTATGCAGTAGTCAAATTGCTTGCTCAGAACTTTAATGCCTGTAGCTCACAAAGCAGTATTTTTGCTCACAAGACTCCACAGCTTAGAGGGAGCATTGCCAGCAAGTAGGTCTATCCTGAAGACTGCTGATTCTTAATAGGTGGAATACCCAGGGCACAGACCATGGTATCCTGTGTTTCTTTAGAGTAAGCTATTTATTTATGTGGAGAAAAGTCAAATGCTGTAGTTGAGGCTCACATTGGGATGGGGAAAACATTTGCTCACTGGCCTTAACCATGGGAGGGCCAGCCTGGAGGCTCAGTCTGCATCAGCTGGTGTTTGTGCTGATGTAATGCTCTATCCATTACACAACCTGCCCATGAGTGAGGATTTGAGGTGGCGCTAAATGTAGGTGGTGGTGGGGGGGAATGAATGGCATTCTTCACCTATCAAATTGTGGAGTCATTTAGCTAGTTACTTAAATAGAGCCAGTTTGTTCTATGAAGTATCTTATTTGTGTACCTGTTTTCTGGAGCCGTAGTGACACTCAAACAGTGTATTAAATTTGAAATTTTAAAACGGGTGTTCTGTATTGTATTTCATCATGTATTTTGTTACAGTATTTGGAACAGTTGTTTAGGATGGGGCATATTGATTGTAGCAGCCGCCCAACATTTCATGAAATGAATGCTGTAGGCTTATTATATAGACACTTAGACCAAGTGGGATGATCCTTCTGTTAGGTACTCCAGAATAACTGCATTGACTTCAGTGGGATTTGAGCCTTCTTTACAGCTGTAATCGAACTCAGCATTTATCTGGAGCATACAGTGTTTTTAATACTTCTGGTTGTCAGTATGTGTATGGGAATGTGCAGGTTACCCAGCTGTTCAGAATTGTTCTTCCTTTCAAACATGATCCAGTTTGTTTAATTTGAATCGTTTGCAGTAGTCAGCTAAAATGATACTGTTAATGTATAGCCCTTTTGGTACAGCAGTTAATCCTCTGCAGTGTTATGCAGAACAATGCTACCCTAGGTTGTCTCTCAGCACTGAGAATAACAGTCTGGGAAAAGTGGAGCCATGTCTTAGGTTTTGAACCAGAATTTCATCACTGTATTACAGTTGTAGTCTCAAGCACACTCACTGGGAAGTAAATTTCATTTAAATCAGTAGGACTTGAATGTTTAGGATTAGGGTTGTCTATTAACTGCTGTTTATAACATTGTAAATAGACTGGAAGCCACTTGGGCAGGTACCATGGCTTTCTTTGTTCTGCACAATACTGAGCATGCTGCTGCTGATCAGTTGGTTATGTGCACGAATTGTAATAGTTGGGTAGGAGGCTGGAATCTTCCAAGAATAGAAGATTTAAAATAGATGTGTTGTTCTTTTACAAAAACTATTTGACGTTCACGTAATATTGGTTCGAAACCGAAGAGCGTAGAAAATAGTGGTATGAATATTAAAGAGTACTGAACACCTTCAGTGAATTAATAATTCTTTATGTATTAACCTGTTGGGAAATGCAACAGGAGATTTTTGGTGTAAGGGTGAAGGCTGTTAACTTTACTTGGGGTTGTTGTTGTTTTTTTAGTTAATGTGAAGAGCCACTTCACTCATATAATTATCCCTGCCTGGAAATAATCTCCCTGTCGGAAAACCATGTAAACCCTTCTGTGATTTTGCTGCAAGTATGTATTGAGAAGGTGGTGCGCAGGTATTGACTTTGGACTTCTGCAAATTTTCTGTCCCAGGAACACCATTTCAGGGTCATTTGAGACAGCAGCAGGAGGGGGACAGTGTGAATGTGGTGCTCTGTGGAGAAAAAAACCTACTGTTAGTGGACATGTTTTATGGGATCCGTGCCAATACCTGTATACTCTCAGCAAAACCAGTGCAGCGACTAGGCGACAGTGCAGCGACAAAAATTTATGTCTGTGTTAGGAATATCACATGTAGACTGTACTTGTATGATTGCAAGTGTATACAGGAGGAAGAATCTGAAGATTAGAAACTCAAATTTCTGTATGTGGTAAACTGACATAAAGTTTAATGGATTATGCTGGTTTAAGTAAAGCTGGAGCCAATGAAATTAAGTTGTGTTAGAACATACATCCTACCTTATAGTATCGATAGAGGCTTCCTTACCAACTAATCTGCTCCCATGGTGAAATTGCATTGTGATTAGTTTTAATTTTCTTTATTTTGTCCATAGTATATGCTTTATACTGAGTAAAAATGCTATGATAGTGACATACCTTGTGATAAATTCAGATGGAGGGAGCGATTGGGGAAAAAAAAACACTCTTCTAAACCCTTGAGAGGACAGAAATAGTATTTGTGACTTTTGTGAAAGTTCCTAGGTAACACACAGCTTATTTTGGTACCTTATATAATTGCAACTTAGATACCAGTCCAAAACACTAGACAAAGATGGGTGCTTAGAATACTGTCTATTTTTATACTTTTCATTAGACCGATGCATTGTTTTGGAGACTAGATCTTCCCATGGCGGTAATATTACTGTTTAAGCAGCAAAAATTGAAAACTGAAATTTGTTATAGTGATGGTTTCCCTTTAGGTAAAATTTCCAGTGCATTTTTTGAAAACTTGGGATAGAATTTTTCAAATGTTTATTTACAATAGTTTATATAAAATATTGTCATAGTGTGCTGAATGCTTTTGGCTATGAGTTTTTAAGCCAGTGTAGTACTGTTGGGAAAGCTACAGAGAGAAGTGAGTCATCTGTTCTTGGAAGCCAGAGTAAGCATGATGTGGCCCAGTTTAGAGAAGCAGGACTTAAGTACTTGA